CCTATCCAACTTCATTTCACAACCAACAAATACTGGTCCCCTACCATCTTGTTCTGGTAGGCGTGTGCCTTCCAGTTTTGACTCAAACCTAATCGCAGGGCGTCACTCCGGTCATGCCAACCAGTCCATAGCCAAAGCAGTATACATGGAGCTTTGAACAACGGTGAAGTGGGTGTGGCATCGCTGTGAGCCCGCGAACTAAACCACCATGATCGAGCTAACTCCAATCAGGGGCCATACGTGCGCCGTCAGATTGGCTACTTCATTCAAAGCATCAAGGTCGTGCGGTGACAACAGTTATCTATTTGCTGTTGTTTCTTTCCCCCAACAAAATTTGGCGTTAATCCTGTGAAAGATGAACTTTATAGTCAACTAAGCGACCTCTTCCAGTCGCAGAAACAGTACGCACATGATAGTGTTGGCTGGGGACTTGAACACTCAAGTTGGAAAATTGCCCAATGATGAGCTGTGTCTGGGCGACCAACACGATGTAGGCTGCTCACGTAATGATAACAGTGAGCGTTTGTTACACCTACGTGAGGACGCTCGCCTACTTATCACGAGCACTCACTCCCGCCAGTAAGGTGCCTTCGATTCGCTGGATCGATGTGCTATTTGGGACTGTGTGGGTAAAGAAGGTGTAACCGTGAAATAAGCAGAGATTATTAGTGCTTTAGGCGCGTATTTCCAGCAGGATGAGGGCTTATGGAAGTCTATTACAGCCATAGTTTCTCCAACTGTATGCGACAAAAATGCACGCGGACACATTCCGTCTTTATATTTGCCACCATCGAAGTCATAGAAACTGCGTCCACTGGACACGGCTTCGAATTTGTGTACAGTTGCCTCCAAATGTTCAACTTCCTGAAGTGGAATACGCCGGCGAGATTTTCCTAGTCTTTGACGGTTTGCAAATTTGTCAGGTAGCGCTGGATAGATTGGCAGTGGTTATCAACCGTTTCGGATTGTGATTCGCATCCTTAGTATGCGAAGCTTTCCTCAAGGATGGGCAGGGGCCAACATCTAAACCGGCCTTTAATGGGAATCCGCTGGAAGTAGTTCAGGAACTCAATAACCTGTGTAACTCTGGTATCACACGTGAAATTGAAGATGAGATCACAAATTGCATAATAAAAGCTCGAGATGCTTTAGATAATCAGGACCACTTATGGCGCTGGTGCGATATCACTCTTGCTCTGAAGGGTAGACTCTAGAAGGTTGCCCTACGTCCGATCCTACTACATGGTTGCGAAACCTGGCTCATCATATCAGTAGACACAGAGGCCAATTGCGTTCGATCACTAGTGTCTCCTCAGTTCAGTCATGTCTAGGGGAAACATTGTGTGAGCGATGAGCGTGTTTATCGCCTCGTTTATGGTGCACAAAGAGCAAGTAATTGCCCAGTGAGATTTTTTAAAGCACCACACTCCGATGGGTGGGTCATGTGTCACGCATGACAGCGCACCTACTTACGCAACGTGCGCAACCGGAGTTTTGGTTGGAGAAGAGGAGAAGCCAACCTATAACTTGGTCAGGAAGAATGAATGCCCTCACTTTGGAATAGGCCTCGGCTTCTGCTTTTCGACTCCCGCTTTGGGGTCCGAAAATCGACGGACACATCTGGATGAAAACGCTAATTGACAAAACCAAGAGCCGACTATTTCTTTGCCCTTCCCCTCGCGCTTCGTCTCTCCATCCAACTAAGATCTCATCTACAATGTACAATAAAAGTAAAGCACAATTTAGTTTCAAAGGGATTCGGTGTTTCTCTCTCCAAACACCGACACCACTCATGAGGAGAAGATAGCCTGAGCTGCGAATGGAACTCGGGGCTAGTGGTTAATGATTGACGGATTGATCTCTGGGACGCTGAAATCCATGATCAACGTTTGGCACAGCGGTAAGGAACTCAGATGTGGGTTTAGAGTACTCGCCGTGTGGTTGGATTGCGACACGCAGTCTCTGTTGAGACCTCTGTTTAATTTGAAGTACGCCTCGGTCATCCCGATCACTGCCATCGTATCCGAATTGGAGGGATTTCGGTATTACTCCATCCCAACACTGACACCCCAATCAGAACATGTTTTGCTTCTTTCTTCTACAGGACCATAATCTGTGTTGTGGCGCAATGGCTGATACGTTTCTCACCTCTAGCTAAAGTGTGGTGATGAATGGCACGGAAGCGTATGGGCCAGTGCAGTTTTAGTGAGGAAAGCCCATGATTCCAAAGCTCTAGGATAATACTGCTGATTGCTAGATTGCTCACCCGAGTGACGAATCGAATCTAGTCATTGTTGCATCAACAAAGATAGTGTTCTCGTATGATTAGCAATCAAACTCTTTCGATGCCTCACAGTCTTTCAACTGCAACCGCAACGGTCATCAGGAGCTCCGCTTAGAACAACATGTAGTGACGAAAAACGTCACATCTAATAGTAGAGGATGCACGTGGTTACGAGGTAAGGTACGAGGGCTAAGTGAAGTGCTGAAAATGTTATCTGGATGTAATGAAAACAGGAAATACACCCGGCTGCATGAGTCGTGAAAGTGGAACATCATCAATGAAGGATAAAGGAAACAGATAGGGATGTGTGAAGCAGAGGAATTTGTACAACGTTATACAAATCCCACTACAAATAAAAACGCAGGACAGATCCTGGGGTAGTTGCGAAATTAGCACTACCACATTGACGGTAACCGAAGCCCACCGGAAAGTCGACGGAACTCAGTAAATGAGACCAACAGGCTAGGCTGATCCGCGAAAATAATGATGCACGAGAGAGCCCCAGTCGCACAGCAGTCAAGCAACAGGGCTAATAGACATAAAAGCAGGACGCAGCAACAAAACTGCTTCACTCGTGGTATTGACCACTCTATTCTCAGCGGTGAGACAGAGGCTAGAGAGTTTAGTCTGAAATAGTCGTCAGTGTGAGGTGATCCCGATAAACAATCCGCTAGGTGTATCACTTAATGGTCAATATATGTTTGGCTGTAGTTTTAACGTGTAGGAGGCAGAAACATTGACAATAGAACGTACACAAAACTAAATGGGACACGGAGGTATGCGAATGACTGCATCGCGTTAAGGTCCAGTCTTGTTATGATGGGCAAGACAAACTACACCGTTATTTTCGATGGAGATCCGTCACAGTCAATCTTAGTGGGACAGCCACTGCACTAGATGGCCGTTTTATCCTTTTGAGGACCGCCTGCAGTGCACATTTCATCTGTCCCCTGTGAGGTTGTAGGACCTATAATTGATTCCGATGTGGTTAGCTCTTCTTATGCACTAAGGAAATACCAGACATTATCATCTGACCCTCCATTCACACCCAAGCAAACAATACACACCTTTGTTTGAACTCTGGCTAAGAACATCCAGCCAGTGTCATCGTAGTGTTCTTTCACAGCCTTTCTCTTTTCTTCCGTTACGGAATTGTGAGAGCAATCAAATGTATCATTGGGAACACCAATATTTGATTCTTCGTGACAACCTATAGGAACGACGGGACTTGGTCATGAATCCGGTACCTGATCTGCCCCACATAAGGTTAGAAGAACCCGTGATCCGATGCATACGCGTCAGCGATTGAGATCATTGGGACAGATGGGGGTGGGCGGTGACCTCGGTGACAGTAACCGACTGTGATGAGTCTCAATCGAAAATACAATGCAAATCCCACCATTCACTATTCTCCACATTGTTATTAGTAATAATCAACCATATAAAGCAATCGGTTGACTTACGAGCGATTTAAGCCACTTGTTCAATTGGACCAAGTTTATGCGTTCAAAAGCAAATAACCGTTAACTTGCAGTTGTCATTGTCCTAATGTCAACGACGATGACCCCAACCATGAGCGTGATTTGCTTGAGTATGCTCTACGACACCCATAAAAATAGTTCTCGATTATTGTATCGGTACTGACGAGATGATACGAAATGCTGACATCTGCCAATGCTTCATCGCGTTGTTCAAACATAGCGTAACCAACCGAGAAAAACGAATAGCCATCTGTGCAGGTCATCGCAACAATACATTGGATGACAGAAAACGAATCCCATAGCAACCATCTAATGATTTGTAGACAGAGTGAATTTATCCCACAAAAATGAAGAAATGGCATTCGGTTGATCAAATTTGTCGACATAACTGATGCATTTGACCAGATAGATTTCACATACTGAACCGTTTAAGTGAAAAGCCCAGTCGCTCATAAAATTGAATTGGTGGCCGGATAAATGGATCTACATACGGAACTAGAAAACGATCAAGCCGAAACCAACTGAGCTGGAGAGAGAAAAACTTGACAGAATACAAATCCATTTGTAACTGTAGTGAAACTAAACTTTTTTAACCACAATCTACAGTATGATACAGTACGGCATGCGGTAATGGCGATACTAGTTCCACGCACAATTAGGCGTATCCCACACGCCGGGAAGTTTATTTGCCCATCGGAATCCATGATCAAAGTAGACATCAATGACTTCCTTGGAGATGGTACGATGGATTATAGCGGCTGCGAAGGGACGCTACTTAAGAAGTGCTTCTATGTCACTACCATTCATATGTGTTTCACAGACACAGAACACACGAACGAGACAGTGTAAATTCAGAGTCACAACAAACAGCCGACTGAAAACCATCTGGATTGGTTACCAATTCAATTGACACAATCCACTTGCTGCCCTAAGTGTTCGATCGCACGGCAAGTGTACTGTTATAGTAGCCGTAAGACTTGGAAACACAATGAGTGAGTATACGCATGAACTATTATGAAGACGAAAGTCACCGCTAAACGGGATTCCACTGAGGACTGACATAACATAGTAGACATTTTGTCTACCAAGTCAGGTGCTGGCAACTTATTCTGTTGATGTTGGGATCCAGTGTGCAAATTCATCCTTAGACGGTCGAACTGGAGGGCCCACAGCTCTAAACCCGAGTGGAGAACTGTGAATAAGACAGGAAAACACGTACAAACAAATGTACTTACCAGTTTGGTGAAGACGCCGGTAACATTCCCACCGAAGATAGAGTACTTCCCGTCGATTGTTGCATCCACAACGGCTTCGTCTCGGGAGAAGGCCTGGACAAGCTGGAAAAAGAGAGACCATGTAGCACAAAGCACAAAACGAACAGTGGTAAAAAGTGACAGCAGTAACGTGGGTCACGAAGTGACGTGGTCAAACAACCGATAATCCAGTTAAGAGCGTTGAGAATAAAAGGATTGGTTCAAGTGGCTTAGTCGCTTGCATTTCAATGGGCCACTTCAAGAATGGAAAGAACCTCAGTGACGGCACACTGACACGGTCTGGTCACTGATAAACTCGGCATGAGACACCAAGGGCTTGGCCCAAACGTGTGACTGAAGTATAAGGCCACTTAGTCGAAATTCACCTACTAGATAATGAGATGAGCCATGCTTGATAAAACGTGGTGTGTCAAGAAGGGTACTTAATCAAGTGCTTACTGATCGATTCGGAAACTTAAGAACAATGAGAATCTAACTGTGCAAACCACTGATGCAGCCCAAATGCTTCTATGCCGCAAAATCTAAGTTTGTAATAAGCGATCACAATGGGATCAAAAAACACGAGTAGAGTTCCTGACATAGACTTAAACAATCGGCTAACGCCATAGAAACGGGCATCGCCACTCCTGTGTTCCCATCGAATTTGTGAAGTAATTCCTGAGCATAAAGGACATCAATCCAATCGCTTCCAAATATTTATTGCTCTGTCTATGCACCACATTCATATTAGGAGACAACTGAGTTGAAATCCTCAGTGCTCAAGAAGTACTTATCATATTCCATGGGAACATTGACGAGGCGACGACGCCCAGCATTTGGTGCCCAGTAACGGAACACTGGAACGCGTGATTTGGTGGACCTGAATCGCTAATAGTGACGAGTTCATTTTCATTATATACCTACCAACCACTTGCCTAAGCGTATCGTTATCAGCCAACGAGTGTAGTTGCGCAAAGCGACAGTGTCCAGGTGACTGCGGGAGAAAGAAGTATAATCAGACCGATCAAAAAACAAATCGTGTCGATGCTTACTACTTCCATGGACAAAAGAATGGGGATGAAGTACACCGTCGGAAAGGTTGTTTGACAGCACGGAAGTTTAGTCGACTATGATTCTACTGATGAAATTCGGTGGACTCATTTGTCACAAGTTGTGTCGCAATGATGACGACAGTTAACGATCATGAAGCAAGATGAAGTAAAAGATTACAAATATGGCGGAAAAGTAAGCTGGAGGAGAAAGTTTTAACAAGTACAGAGTAGCGCAGCTGGTGGCGACGGTAGTGTAGGAGCTTTCCCTGTTTGCCATGCTACCCGACAAGTTGAATATTTTCCGTCAAGCAGAATTTGTTTGTTAATCTTCATGTACTTTACGTTGGAACGTTTTGTGTCGTTGAGTGCATCGCACCTGGCTGATTGCAGTGCAGTTGGTCACTTGTACAGAAGTGCCGATGAACGTGTTACATATCGGAAGTTAAACCGAAGAAATGAGGCTAAGAGGAAAGCGGGCGGTGATACGATTGCCTTGCAACCGGCCAGTGTTCCATCAGCCTACTTGATGTAACCACGGGGTCAGGATGAGGTCAGTTTCCCGGTTAGGACAGCTGTAGCCTGAAGGTAACGAGCTTGTCTTGTAAGCTGATGGCGCGGGTTCCAGCCTGCGTAAGGGCAGAGCAATCTTCGCAGTATCCTTAGCTCGCATGCAATCGGTGGTGGTTGCGCGGCAACGAAGCGTCGGTATTGCGTACCGGCGTACTGCTGACGCGTTTCTTTCTTTCCGGTTAGGAAGCGACAGGATCGTTTGCCCCGCCTCCAACAAACATGGAAAATCGGTAAAGGACTAGGGTTCGGATAGGAACAGAGCAAGCGTACCAGACGTTGACACCGGCACTTGAAACCTATGGTGACGCGATCTGTCTGGGGTCACAGATGGCTAAAGACCGACAGACACATAGCAGAACATTCGATTCCGTTGTGCATGAAGACAGTCAGATCGACTCTTCTACTTAACTGGACATCGTGGTGTTGAGAACCCAAAGCACGAAGGATGCTTGTAGGGACAAGGCAATTATATATGGTACAGATGATATAACAGAGAACAATCGTTTTCACTTCCACAGTTCATCCGTGGTGTTGGTCTGCCTCTCGGTTCTGCTGCGCCCCATCCAACCACTAGCTTTACATTTGTTCCTCCCTCGCTACATCCGTAGCAATGGTAGTTGGATGTGCATTATGCACTAAGCGTACGTAGTAACTCATAATTTCCCTGATTCTCTCAAACATGTCCCTTCGGTTCATACTACTCATTAGTATTACACCAAAGGGGAGCTTAGATGAGAAACATGCAAACCTATCTTTCCGGAAATCAATACTAGTGAATTTGTCGCAGTGAGTACTCACGTGCTAACTTCATGGTAGAAAACATTTCCGGTTGCACCGTAATAAGCGTGTATAACATTTAACGCCGAACGTGTTAAGCCTAATTCTCAGGATGTCCAAAGCAGTGGAGTAGCAACAACTTTTGCCGCCCGGGACGGTGGCAAAATTCTCACCATGACTGGGAGCAGAATAGGCGCGTGAAGGTCACACAATCGGCTCAGAGTAAAGTACACTTTAGTTTTCGGTGAAATGGACAATCGTTTGGCACACTGAGGTAAATGTGTTGAAGTGATCACCATGAGACAAGTAAGGGGATCGCTGTGAAAAAATTGGCACAAGTGTGACACATGGCGCGGTTTTGTTGGTCCTGCAGTAACATTTAAGTACTCAACCCCCAGCTTATCAGGATACTTTGCCCCTTATATTTGGTACCGAACAGTCAACGGTACTAAAACCGCCGCCTGTCACGTGCCACTCAGGGCGGACCGTCCCTCATGCTACGCCTCTGGCCCAAAGTCATCACCGAACACAATTCTGTGAAGCAGATGGACATGCAAGCCGCTGTACTAATCCAGCATCCGAGTTCGTGGCGATGGAATTTGCCTGGGTTGAAGGCAGCGTGCTCGAATGAATCCCAGTGGCTAGACGCGAGTGAAAGAAAAGACATCACAATTACACGAAAGTCGAAAGATATGATTAGAAAACGTGCTGTCCCCTTGTTGCTTTAGTGCACGTGTCCACGGGGGTCAACAAATTCAAGTGCAATCGACAAGACTCAACTCTCACTCGCATGGCTAGAAATAGAGACAAAATGAGCGTTGCGCGTAACGAGTGTTCTCGAGTGGGCAGCTTACCGGAGACCGAACAAGACCTAGAATGCTGCTTCAGAGTAAACGCATGATTGAACTGATAACGATGACTAGTTTCAGATATTATGCCTACCACAATTACTGGATATGCGGCATAACCATCAGCTGCATACGTTCGCACGGTGTCGTCCACCCTGCCCTGTATATAGCTTGACCGTATCGTTACTAACCAAAGATAGCGCACACCAATGTCGAATTGCTGATCTTTCTGAAAAACCGACCTGGAGTTTGATCAGGTTCTACTGCGTACTTTAACTTCTAAGGCCTAATCGACTCAGGTTGAAAGGCGTAATTCGAGATTAATTGTCAGCGGAACGGGGATTTTTTAAACAACTCTTCCAATCCGAGTGCGAGCATCAGCTAACGTAGCACAGAGTGAACGATCTGACAGCCGATCGCAATCGTCTCAAATGCAGTAGGAACCACAAAGTTTGTCGGATTAATAGGTGGATCCTCCAAGGAAGTGTTAGTCTGATGAAGCAGATGGTGGTTGCATCACTCTGAAACAGTAGCTAACTTATAGTTTCAGGAGAAAGTGGATAAGGAGAAGTCGTTCATCATCATCATACACGTTAGCTGGAGGTGGGGAACACCTCAGCTACTGTGCCGCAATACACAGAAAAAAGGAGATAAAAAAAGAATTAAACTGAGGCAAGTCGGCTGAGCTACCGGTAACGGATGGGCATCGTTCCGGTAAGCTACCAGCCAGCTACTATGCATAAAAAAATTATGCGGAATTATATAAAATTAAATAATGAGATGGTGATTGGAGGGGGAGGCTAAGAGGGATGGGGAGGGACAAAGAAACTCACAGCACGAACGCCACTGAGGTCAACTCCTAGCCATATCAGCAAGTGTGTCCAACCAAACGTGTTCATCGTCTTTCGGACCCCAACCGGGGAGCCGAGACGCTCCAACCGAGGCCAGCTCAGAAGTGAGGGCCTTCATTCCCCTGGACCAAGTCATCTCCTGGCCATCCCTCCCCTTCTTCCATTCACATCTTCGGTGAGCAAACAACACCGTGGAAGTCGATGGGCTGGCATGTGTAACACGTGGCCAAACCATCGGAGCCTGGTGCGTGAAATGACGGTGCTGAGCGGTTCATTTCCTTTTTCTGTGCCGTAAACAAGGCGTCGAACACGCTCGTTACTAACTCGGTGTTCCCACCAGATGTGAGCTAAATTGCGAAGGCACCGGTGGTCGAACTTAACTAGCCTCCTCAAGTCCGCTGTTTTAAGGGGCCAGGTTTCACAACCGTACAGTAGGGTCGAACGTACCGCTGCATTGTACACTCTTACCCTTCAGGGAGAGTGATGTCGCGCCGGCGCCATAAGTGGCGATGGTTAGCAAAAGCGCCTCGTGCTTTCGCTATACGGTTCGTGATCTCATCTTCAATCTCACGGGCGCTGATACAACTTCCCAGGTAGTTGAATTTCAGTACAACTTCTAGCTGATCCCCACCAAGAGTCAGCGTAGGAGAGGGTCCAGACCAATCTTGGAGGAACGCTTTGCACTTCGAGGGTGCGAAGCAAAGCCCGAAGTGACGGACAGCTAGTGCTAATCTGTCCAGTGCCGCTTGGCACGTCTGGGAGCTGTCACAGATTAGGGCAATATCATCAGCATACTCTAACTCAAGAAGTCGTTCTCCTGGGAGTAGCTCCACACCTAAGTCGTGTGCTGTGAACGCGATTTCCATGACTTCGTCAACAGCGAAGTTGAAGAGGAAAGGTGACAACGGGTATCCTTGTCTCACGCCACTGGAGATATTAAAGGGCGACGACAACTTGCCGTAAGCCCTCACTCTGCCCGAGCTACGCGCATATAATGCTCGGATAATATTCACATATTTCTCAGGGACACCTTTCCTGAGTAGACAGTCCGAATCGAATGCACCTTCGATGTCGAGGAACACGATAACGGTGAGCCGCCAATATATATGACGGTGCACCAAATACTGACGCAAAATAAAGATGTGGTCAATGCAGCCACGACCTGGACGAAACCAGGCTTGCTCTTCACGAATCTGACTTTCACAAGTGCCAGTCAGTCTGTGAAGGATGACAGAGGCAAGCAATTTGGAGGCTGATTCCTCTATAATTGCCGCATTCCGATCGTGAGCCTCCCTTGAAAATTTGGACTGTGACGGAGCGGCTCCAATCGGTTGGGACAGTTTCCTGCTCCCACAGTTTGGCTAATAACTCGTGTAAATCATCCATTAGGGCAGGTCCCCCGAATTTGAAGAGCGCTGGAGGAAGGTCATCAGGTCCCGCGGCTTTAGTTAACTTCAACAGTCCGATCTCACGTTCGACTTCTGAGCGAGAAGAGGGATCCAAAGGGACAGCCCACGGAGCGGGGCGATCAGTGGCCGGCGAGAAATCTAACCATTCCGGCCGATTAAATTGCCTTTCAAAGTGCTCAGCCCAACGCTCCAAGCTTTTGATAAGTTGTAGATAGGCTGTCCACTCTCGTCACGTATAGTTTCACTAACACTAGGTCTCCTGCTGCTAGTTTCCCGTATCAGACGGAATAACTTACGATGATTACCAAGGGCAGCGGCCATTTCCATCTCTGTTGCACGATGAGACCACCAGGATTCGCGGTCTCTCTTCAGGCTAGCACGGAGTTTTGCTCGGAGCTCTTTGCGAGTTTCATTGTGTTAGGAGAAGTCATTACTGTTGGGAAGATCTGGGATAAGCTTCTGCCTGAAGCACAGGTTCGCGAAAAGGGGGAGTGAGATAATGTCTGGGAAGGCAAACAGGTAATCCGTCTGAACCTTCGCTATCTGCCTCAATTTCAGTCAAGTTACGGACTAGATGTAAATTAGAACCCGAAAGGCTTGGATGTCGAAAAAATATTGCATAAATAATTCTTATGCGGGGCGCGTGTAGTAGTAATATGTCCGTAATTCTTGAATATGACAACGACCATATTTATCGCACAAGAAAAATTACTCGAACTGTTCCAAAAGGGGCCCAAAAACGTCTAAACACCCATGTTCCTAAGACCTCAAGTTGCGACTCAATCATCCACGTAATCACTCTCATATAGACCGTGTGCCACAATACTTCACATGTTTGTCGCCCATACAAGAGCATAGTCACTCCTGTGCATATTGCTTTGTACCGCTACAGACAGTTTTTCAGATCATGAAAAATATGCGTATTATTCATTTTATTTTTATATCAAAGTAAACGTATCCGGTAAGGTTAGTGGATAGTTGCAGTTTAATGCATGTACATGTATACACAAATATGAGACGAAAAAGCTAGGAGAATAACAGACGCAGGCACAATGACAAACCTCCTTGGTGGTGAGGACTTTGTACAAGTCTTCCGGAGTGCAAAAGAACTCGTCTGTGAATGTCAATTCTTTCACCGATAGGTCTTTCGGCTGTCGACAGTAAGTTGGCTCGGTGCGCTTTAACGCAGGCGGATTCGGGGAGGCAGGATTGCAGTTAGTAACTTCTAGAGGAGACTTTGTCGGGAGGATAAGATTCTGACTATACTCTTGAAAAAAACCATTAAAAAGTAACTAATCTGCACAAACCTTCCTTCAGCTTCCTGAGATATAAGCCGAGTCTGGATTTTATTTCCCCTGCACCGACCGTTTGCATAAACTTCCTAATTGCATCGCCATCCGAAGTAGACGAAGAACAACTGACTGAAATGTCCAGTTCATCTACGGTGTATTCTTCGCTCAAGTTAGGGATTTCTACTTTGCCGCTGAAAGTTGTTTTATTTTCACCAGTCTTGAGTTGACCTAAAATGAGAAGGGAAGCACTCTTGAGCATAGTTTTTTTCGGCAGATGCCCAATAATGGCACACAAAACGAAACAAAAGGATGTTACGATACAGTCGAAACTGTAAGGTGGTGCACAGTGAGGAGAAAGAAGTTTAATGAGAGCTACTCAAGCGATAAAAGTTCGTGGATGGATGAAGTTAACGGTAATTTTTGATAAAGGTAGAATAAAGAACAGCCTGGTAACTAGCGTGGACAATGCGAAAACGAAACAATTAAGATACATTCGTGGTGGGATGAGAGTTGTACACCTCAGCTGTCATTCAGGTAAGGGTGAAGATACGATACATCTAGCTCCTCTGAACTGCACCGTGAGACTCGGAATAAGTAACAATAGTTAGGGGGAGATAATAGCCCAATGATAGGACATAAAAAGGCGACGAGATAAATGACAGGTAGAAAGCTGAACGAGTAGAAATAAGGAGGCCGTACCTTAAATTAGTCTGAACGTTTGTGTGTCTTAGGTGGTGCTTTTGCACCTTCGTGTGTCAAAAGGCATTGAGAGAGAGTAAGGTGCCCGACGTAAATGGTGCGACATTAAAAAACGATTCAGAGAAGCGACAGAGTTAAACACCAGTAAGCAGATAAAAGCGCCACGCGGCCATTGATCCTATAAATCACATTACACTTCAGCTGAAGGTGAGAAACACACTTCAGCTAACTGTTCCGCAATACAGAAGATACATGAGAAAGTGAGATACTAAACATTACAGACACAAAAACTAAAAAAGCAAGTAACATAACGCTAAGGATAATATTAATTATGCAGTGTGAGAAGCTAAGCAAGGGAGGGAAAAGGAAACGCACAACACAAACTCCACTGAGATTGGCTCTTCGCCGTGTCAACTAGTGTATCCAACCAAACGAACTCATCGTCCTAAGGACCCAGTCGGGCAGTTTCAAGAAAACCAACTGACGAAATGAGGGACCTCATTCTTTTGGACCAAGTTATTGCTTGGCTTCACCCCGGTCGCGCAAACATCGCACTTCACGGGAGTCGGCGTGCTAGCACACGTAACACAGTGAGCCAACAGAATAGAGTTAATTCGGCATACATCCAAGTAGCCGCATACAACCGGGTTCTCAATGTCCGAAGTACATGGTTAATATCCAATTACCGCCATAACCGATTCAAGTCTTGCAGTGACAAAGGCGCATTCAAAAGCGATGCAGCAACCCCACTTCGTAAACTAACAACCAATGACGACAGCGACTGTGGTAACTGAACGGCCCAGCAAATGCTGCATGCTCGGTGATGCTGTAAGCAATGGTATATATATATATATATATATATATATATATATATATATATATATATATATATATATATATATGACACTATTTTGCCATCTTCCCGTTTACATACGATCAGAACCATGCATAAGTGTTCAGCTAGAGATTTAGAATACACGAGCAAAGCAGGGTCGACTGCATGTAGGTAGACATGTTACACATTTTTAAAAGTTGATAACTGTTTTAAAACTCATTAGATTGCCAGAAAGCGAGTAATATAGGTTAATATGGTTATAGTGTCAATAGGTATTCACATTTAAATTATTCGTATCGATCTGATTTTACGTTCATGAGTGACAAAATACTATTATGTTGTGGAAATTACGCAAACCAAATTAAAAGCTTGTGGGGCAATTCCCCATATCACTGTGTGCTTTTTAACCCATGTTTGTTTCTGAGTTTTTTTGGATGCGAGTGGTGTAATATGGATTTTGTTCGAGCTTCCGAATGGTTCGAAACTACAACGTTAAAAGTCAGCATATGAGCCAGCTGCAATGGAACAGGCGGTTGCTCAAGTTAGAAAAGGTATCATGGGATACAAGAAAGCTACCAGGTTGTACAACTTGAAAAGGGAGACAATTCGAGACCACGTAAAAGAAAAAATATAGCGAAATAGAAGCTATTAGAAGAATAGTTCACAATGAAGCAGAAAAAAAGGTTCCAGCTATTTAAAACTTGTTTGCCAATGGGGGTTTGGATTTACATGCACAGAAGCGATGAAAGTTGTAGGTGATTTTATTACTACTGTTGGTCAGTCTAAGACTGTTCCTTTTAAGAGGAATGTTCCTGGTCGAGATTGGTTATATAGTTTTTAATGAGACATCCGGATCTGACACGCCGAATTCCAAAGCAGCTAAAAAAATCGAAACCAGTTGGTTGCAAATAAACAGACATGTGAAAAGTGGTTTCAGCTGCTGAGTGAAACCCTCACAATCAATGTCATTATGAAAATGGCCGAAGGAGTTTACAACGTTGATGAGAGTGGCTCTTCACTCGATCTCAAGCGATTGAAAGTGATTTGTGAAGAGGGGATCACAAACTTTTTCGTGTCATTGGTGGCTCAGGGAGAGATTCTGTCACAGTGCAAGGATGTGCTTGGGCTGATGAGACCGCGCTTCCCCCATATGTCCGTTATGGGCCCAGAAATCTAAGTTTCGGGGACGCAAAATGGACTTGGCAATGCTAGATACAATGTCTCTGAAAATGGTTGTATGGACAATGTTTGTTTTAGTGACTGGTTTATAAACGATTTCATCCAATTTCTATCAGAAGGTAGACCTGTTCTGTTAATTGTTGATGGGTATGCTTTGCATATAAATACTAAAGTCCTTGGACCAACAATTAAAAATGGTGTAATAATTATGAAACCATCAAATTCAACCCACTTGCTCCAACCCCTTGATGTGGGTGTCTGTGTACCAGGGAAGACAGAGTGGGAGAAAATTCTTATTAAATTTGCCAGGCAGGTACAGCTATTTCCTATTCTTCTGAAGAAATTATGGAAGTGACTGTCTGAGTAAAGGAAATATTGAACCCGGATTTAGCAAATGTGGCATCATGCTATTTGACCCTTCCAAAGTTCCATCTTCTGTGCATGAATCTACAGATTATGTGGGCAGCGTTCAAGCAACATAAACAACGCACGACGCAAGCCGCACAAGTGTGGGCATACGGCAAGGCGACAATGAATTGTATCAGTTAGTCGTTTCAGTACTGTAAAAAGATTCTGCCATGACGATAGAATGAGCTTTCCCTCAACTTTCCACGTCCTGAACAGAATCTCATGTTGAGAAGCAGAGCGATCAAAGACAATCTATTAGACACATTTTTCTTAAGAGGCTGTCATCAGTTCTGAAACAAAATACATCTAAAACTCAGAGAAAGACAAATAAATGACATTATGGTGAAAGCCCGACTGATCAGGAATGTGTGGAGCGAATGGAGCAGCAAAGGTAGAAATATCGCAAGACCACATAGAAGTCTGCATAAAAATAAAAAAGATCGTAAGCATCGAAGTGATTTGGACAAAAAAATCATCCAATTCACATGGTCAGAAAGATACCATGAATCAAAGGCTTCGAGATGTTTTTGCAAAGGCTGCAAAAATCCCACGATCACAAAAACATCCGTTAGATGAAATGCATGTGCTCAATAAGAATACAACAGTTTTAGATAAAGATAAACCATCCTGTTTGTATGCTTAGCTCAGAAATTATTGCACGGAAAGGCAGAAGAGTGGTTTAGAATATTGTAATGATATCGATTTTTCCAGTCTAGTAGGAACATATTTGAGAAATTCAGTTTCTGAGAGACATAACATCAAGTGTCTGCCAATTGTTTGGTTATGGTGTCTGGAAAATGCTGACCAAGGCAGAACGTGTGGAATTGCCCCATTTTCCTATTTTATCAAAGTACAAAATCATAGTATCGTGCTTACAATTGTATTTTAAGCAAATTTCTTTCGGGAGCATTAAATTTAACGTGTTGCGGTGTGATAATGAATGTTGCCAATTACTTAGTTTTTTAAATATTTCTAAAAGTCGGGTGTGACATTACCCCAATTTACTATATATATATATATATATATATATATATATATATATATATATATATATATATATATATATATATATCCCTCTAAGTTGCTTGTAATTCGAAACAGTGAATCAGTGCATGTGCCACCACAAAACCCAGAAGCGTTTGTGCATGTGCGAAGTAAGTAAAAAGGACAGTTTATCGTCCGTGTACCCCAAAACTCAAAATTGAATTCCTAGCCGCTGGACCAAACGCTGCTTCAGGATTTCAGTGAACTAGTGATCAAGGTGTAGTCTGTCGAACACACTACGACCCAGGTTTCCGTCCCAACTAACCCTAGCTGATGAGTCCACACAAGGACAAAAAAGTTCGTGAAGAGAAGGATGAGGAACCAGCAACATCAGAAAGTTTTAATTTCGAGTCCAGTCGCAGTGATCGAAGCCCAAACAGAGATTGTACGTCACGACCCAAACACGCAGTGAACAATCAAAAGCTCAACATTGATAAGCCGGTTGTTAGTTGCTAGAAATAGTTCGGCAACTAGGCAAAGATTCGAAGCGGATACAGGAGCATTCCATCTGCGCTCGCGATAGACGATCGCAATATGTCAGTGGTATAAACTGTACCTTCTGTAGCGTGAAGTGGGTGCTAACGGAAAATCAACTAAGTTGAATCAACTTCAGGCAAAAAGGCCAGATAAGGCACTAAGTCATGGCAATAAAAACGGCTCATGGCAGTTGGAAAAGGCACACGTGCTATTGTGAAATTATTCGCAATCGTTAGCTAACTAATATGAAATTAGCGAGTGAAACGTCGTCAAGCTTTTGGTCTGCAACCTCTGTATTCAAGTTCGAGTCTTTGCTCCAGAATAGGTTTGCGCGCCCCTACAGTGTCTCTGTCCGTGTACAACAACTTATGTTTGCACAGTAATAATAAAAAAGTTGAGATAATGGTGCCTTCGATGCCATTTTTAACAAGACCACAAATTTAACTGAATTACGAAATCAAGGCTGGCGCCGGTGTAATAACCGAAGTTATCATTTTGTAGCGGACAAGGGTTCTGAGTCGTTGTTATGAGTGAGGATTACGTGCAAAAATGCAAGTAAAACTTAAGGAGACAAGCAAATTTAAAC